TCAACATAAGGAACTAGGCCTACTGTACTGATATGTACATTTGGTGCATGTCCAGTCTATGAAAATTAGGTCAACTTAAGGAGATAGTCAATGGAGGGAGGTGGTCAGCTATGGAGGTTCTACTGTACAGATAAAATGTGTTTATATAAAGAGATGATAACTTTATAATAATTTTTTAAAAAGCATTCCTAATTTGCTTAAAAAGTGTTTACATTTCTTAGGCAGGCATGGTGGCTCACACCTGTAATCCTAGCACTCTGGGAGGTGGGGGCAGACAGATCGCTTGAGCTTAGGAGTTCAAGACCAGCAAGAGTGAGACCCTGTCTTACTAAAAAATAGAAAAAATTAGCTGGGTGTTGTGGCAGGTACCTGTAGTCTTAGCTACTTGCTACTTGGGATGCAGAGTCATGAGGATCACTTGAGCTCAAGAGTTTGAGGTAGTTGTGAGCTATGATGATGCCATGGCACTCAACCCTAGCACGACAGAGTGAGGCTCTGCCTCAAAAAAAAAAAAAAATGTGTTTACATTTCCTTTGGCCAGAGGTTCTGTTGAAGTGAAGACATTAACTTGAGTTAGTATGTCATTCCTTTACAATGGTCTACTGTGGACACCTTCCTTTTATAGGAGTAATATAAAAAAGTATAAAAAGTGTTTCCAATCTATATCTCTATATATTTACTTGTGAATAATTCTTTTCCTGACATTCAGCTATTTTACTATCTATTGCTAAGAAACTGCCCCAAAACTTAGTGGCCAAAAGTGACTGAAACCATTTTATAATTTGCTCATGGTTCTGCTGTGTGGGCAGCGCTGAAAGGGATAAGCTTGTTTTTAACCCCATGTTAAACCCCATGTCATCAGGCAGGGGGCTGCTGGAATGGGCCATAAGTTTGGGGGTCTCTCTATTCTCAAGGTCTGCTGGATTCCTCGTCCTCCGTGCGTTCTCTTCATGTGCTTAGTTAGCTTGGGTTTCCTCAAACCATGGTGATCTCAGTTTAATCTGACTTCCCAGAGCACAAAACTGTTGCCAGACACTCTCAAAGCTTAGGCTTCTTATTGGCACAGTGCCACTTTTGCAGCTTTGTACTGGTTAAAGCAGGTCACGAAGCCCCAGCCCCGATGCAGTGTGGGAGGGGAACTCCACAAGAGTGTGAATACCAGGAGACATGGTTCATTGGGGGCCATCTTTGGAAGCTAGTTACCATGTCAATGTTTATGAAAAAAATTCCATAAACATTAAACCGAGTCTATTTCCTATCAAATAACCAGAAGCAAAATAATGTTCAACTTAATTGTCTTTTACAATTTGACCATACAGAAGTCTATACTCAGATCTTTCTTTTTCCACGATCTCTCCCAAATATGCCTCATTCAAATTCTTTCAGCACTGCAGTCTCCTCATTAAGTTTTAGCATCAGTCTCATCTAAACTAAATGTTTCCAGATGTTTGGATTCCAAAATTCAGAAAAATTAAGATATAACTAATTTAGTCTAGATATTTGCATACAATCAACATTAATTTCTTAACTGCTAAGAACATCTTGAAAATGTTCTGTCTGCTATCACTCTTGCTTTGCAAAAGAAATGTTTGTTTGTTTTTTTTTAAAGTAGTAAAGAGAATTTCAGACTCAAGGACAGTCCTAAACTAGACCTAGTTACTTTGTGAAAACTTATGTCTTTATTCCTCTCAGTTTGCTGAGAGTTATGAAAATCCCACCAAAGACTGCCACTGCTTCTAGGCCCCAGTGTTTGAGAACCTTTAGTCAATCCAGTGTTACTGAGCATTATGAAGTCCCTTTTTATTCTAACCTACAAGAATCATTTCACATCTTTCTCCATCTTTCTTATAATCATAGTGAACACACTGCAAATTCTATAACTCTTTTAAACAGAATCATTTAAATTTGTGTGAAGGCAAAAAATACAATTGTTAAATACTTTTCACTCTATTAGGACTGGATAGTGTTAGCATAGTCAATAGTTATGAGTAGGGATTCTGTAGTTATTAAGAGATTATTTCTGTTCCAACCTGTGTCTTTCATAACCTTGAGCAAGTAAGGTTTCTGCACCTGTTTCCCATTGATGGTGTAGTTTTAAGGAGATATTATGGCCAAAGTATATGGAGTAGGGCCTAGCACATGGTAAGCATTTTGAAAAATTAATATTATATTCTTGGTCAGTTGCAGTAAATCATGTTTGTAATCCCAGCATGGGAGGCTGAGGTAGGAGGACTGTTTGAGCCCAGGAGTTCGAGACTAGCTTGGGCAACATAGTAAAAAATTAGCTAGGTGAAGTGGTGTGCACCTGTAGCCTTAGCTACTTGGGAGCCTGAGACAGGAGGATCCTGTGAGCCTGGGGGTTCTGGGGTGCAGTAAATTATGATCACATCACTTCACTCCAGCTTGAATAACAAAATAAAATCCATCCTCCCCACCCCCTGCAAAGTTAACATACTTTAAGAGTGATTTCAGGCTGGGCATGGTGGCTCATGACTATAATCCCAGCACTCTGGGAGGCCAGGGTGGGTGGATCGCTGGAGCTCAGGAGTTTGAGACCAGACTGAGCAAGAGCAAGACCCTGTCTCTGAAAATAGCTGGGTGTTGTGGTGGGCACCTGTAGTCCCAGTTACTTGGGAGGCTGAGGCAAGAGGATCACTTGAGCCTGAGTTTGAGACTGCTGTGAGCTATGACACCATAGCACTCTACCAAGGGCGACAAATGGAGACTCTGTCTCAAAAAAAGAGTGATTTCAAATGTTCACAATGTTTTTAAAGAGTTAGCCATAATGGCTTGGCATCTACAGCACAGTGGTTATGGCGCCAGCCACATACACTGAGGCTGGCGGATTCGAACCTGGCCTAGGCCAGCCAGACAACAATGACAACGGCAACATCACCAACAAAAATAGCCTGGCATTGTGGTGGGTGCCTGTAGTCCCCAGCTACTTGGGAGACTGAGGCAAGAGAATTGCTGAAGCCCAAGAATTTGAGGTTGTTGTTATGAGCTGTGATGTCAGGGCACTCTACCAAGAGCAACACAGTGAGACTCTCTCAAAAAAGAAAAAAAAAAGAGTCAGAATTAGATGATAGAATTTTAAAATTGGAAGATAACTTTAATGTTGTATCATTTGGCTTTATTACAGATGAGGATCTTTTTATTTAAAAAATTAATATAGAGTGCATCTGTCTTATAGTTAAAGACAACTATTGATGTGTTACAATCATCAGAAAAATCTTGGCCAGATAAGGTGGCTCATGCCTATAATCTCAGCACTTGGGAGGATGTGGCAGGTGGATTGCCTGAACTTACAGGTTTGAGACCAGCCTGAACAAGAGCCAGACCCCATCTCTAATAATAGCCAGGTGTTGTGGCAGGCACCTGTAGTCCCAGCTCCTCAGGAGGCTAAGGCAAGATAATCACTAGAGCCCAAGAGTTAAGAGGATGCTGTGAGATATGACTCCATGGCACTCTACCAAGGGTAGAGTGAGACTTTGGGGGAGGGGGGGAAAGAATAGTTTTGTAGGTAAGTAGAATATATAGACCCCACATATATTACTAGTAACTCTGCGGGGTTGGTTATCACTCCCACTTAACATTTATCAGTGCCACTACTATATTGTCTTAGCTACCTGCACTTTTTCTTGTGTCCAAATGAAAAGCAACATAGTATTTGCAGTTCTCTGAGAAACAGCAAAATTCCTAAGAATACCTAAAAATGGTAATATAAAAAGGACAAGCAGGGTTTAGGAAATGTATTTTAGGGCAACTGCCAGATTTATTTTAAGCCCTATGCTTAAAAATAAATCTAATTCACATGATTTAAAATATTGGAGCCAAGAAAACTCACTGCAAAGGCATTTATCCAAATACCTGAAGTTTCTCTCTGTGTCTATGCTATGATTTTTGTGAAGACTTACTTCCATCTTTATTTTGTAACTAAATATTTCTTGTATCTAATAAAATAAAAATAGAAAGATATTTTGCAAACAGAATATTTTCCTAATCTCTGACTTCACAAGGTTGATGGACTAAGATTCTGTATAACGCTTTTTATATAGAAAGACGACTGGGTTCATCTGTAGCATTTTTCAATGTGGGATAAAATATCCACATATTTTATTTCTAGCGATATGTAATTTCACCTCTGAGCAAAAATAAAGATGGATTGAATTAAAGATTAATTAGAAATAAATCAAGATAGATTTCCTACTGAAAGCAGTGAGGAACATTATCAGCAGGTTGAATAATTTCTTCCATGACGGTCACTGAAGCAACTGAACTAGGAGGAAATGCCCCTTATTCTCATGTCCTACATTAGTTCTGATAAAAATCACAATTCTAAGTTTTTCCGAATGTTTTATTTGAAATAGCAGCATTACACTCCAGGAGAGAACTGCAGTGAGGATGTTAACAACGTGAAAGAACTAATAGGAAGGACATAATGTTTTAATGAGAATGTTTACTTCCATTGACTATCTTGCAAAGGCGGTATTTTAATTCTCCCCTGACATACACTCTCGGCCTGGGAGGGTGAGCATTGTGCTTCGTTATTTTCCTACTGACTAGCCAACAAGTTAGATGCTGTGGGGTTCAAGGAAGGCTAACGATGGGATACCACCGAAACCTAATCCCCACTGTGCTAAAATGCTGGTACCTGCCGCCGATAAAAAGGTTATCTTGCCTAAGAACGAACCTATCTCCATGATAACAAGAATAACAAGCACTCTTTCCTAACCAGAATTCTCCCGACTGGCTGCAGCCTAGAGGAAACAGAACTAGGGTAGCAGCTAGGACAGCGAGTAGGAGTAGGGAGAGCTCCGTCTTCATCCGGACCTCCATAGCAGCTCCAGAGCCCTGCGTGGCTCCCCAAAGCTGGCCCGGGAGGGGACTGAGTCACCGCCTCACCCGCTCGGCTCCTCCCACCCGCCCGCCCTCTGCCCCAGCCCGCACAGCCTCCGGCGCGGCCCGACCCCGCCCTGCGGAGGCGCCGGCGCGCGCGCGCGCGCGCGAGGCCGGACTTGTTCCCCTTCCGACTGTCCGCGCCCCGCATGCGCAGTCCGCGCCGGCGCTCTCCGTTTGTTTGAACAGGAAGGCGGACATATTAGTCCCTCTCGGCCCCCCTCGCCCCACCCCCCAGGCATTCGCCGCCGCGACTCGCCCTTTCCCCTGCCGGGACGCAGCCCCTCCCAGTTGCTCCCCATCAGCAGCGGTAGGGACCAGACTGTCGTCTTCCTCACTGCCTGCTCTTCAGCCTGTGCTCTCCTAAGTCTCCATCGGGCACCGCCTCGCCCTGCCCCGCCGGACACGGTAGCAGCAACCCCAACATCAACGGGACAAAATGAGACAGTGAGGCTTCCCCGCGGGGACCAGCTCTTCCTCAAGACGGATCGGTGCGTCAGGCCAGGCCAAATAGAGCCGGGGATGCGGGGCTAGACCGCCTACTGCGCCTCTGAGTGGAGCGGGCCCGGCCCGTGGCCCGAGCGGCGGCTGCAGCTGGCACAGCTCTTCACCCGCCCTTCGCCTTCGCCTTTCCTCTTCTCCCTCCCCTGCTGCCCCGAGGAGTTTCCACCCTGCTTCTCTTTCTCTCGCCTCTCCTGCCCATCTCGGGACGGGGACCCCTCCATGGCGACGGCGGCGGGGGCCCGCTAGGCTGAAGCACCTCGCCGGAACGACGAGGCTAGCGGCGACGGCGTTGTCGGCTGTCGCGAAGGGCTGCCGGGTGGGATGCGACTTTGGGCGTCCGAGCGGCTGTGGGTCGCTGTTGCCCCCGGCCGGGGGTCTGGAGAGCGGAGGTCCCCTTAGTGAGGGGGAGGAGGGGGAACTGGGCGCACCTGGTGACCCAGAGGTTCCGGCTCCTCAGCCCCGCGGCTACGAACCCACCACGGAGGAAGTTGGTTGAAATTGCTTTCCGGGCTGGTGCTGGTACAAGGGTATTGTCACTGTAGCAGCAACATGTCGACTGGGGACAGTTTTGAGACTCGATTTGAAAAAATCGACAACCTGCTGCGGGATCCCAAGTCGGAAGTGAATTCGGATTGTTTGCTGGTGAGTAGTACTTTTGCTTGTTTGGGGTTCTAAATGTATTGCTTTCAGTCTAGTTAGCTGCAAAAGAAAGTCTCAGGTGTGTATGTTCATCTTGGAAAACACCAGGTTTCTGTTCGCGGAGAATCTTGGAATATCTTTAAGATCTCGTGGCATGGCCTTATTTACCATTTCACTAGCCCTGTACTACTCTCTGAACTTAATTCTGACTCATTTTATGAGTGCAGGCATCATAAAAAGTTACCACGTAAACATTACTACGTAGTTAGTTGAATGGCGATCGTGGTAATATTAATCTTCCTGATTGGTTTGACAGTAACATTGGAAAAGACTACTTTGCATTTATGCGTTTTAGCTCCTAGGAGTTTAGTTTAGACTTGGAAGTGACAATGGAGAATCAATATTGAGGAAGTGATTTTTGAGCCAAAATGTCATAGGTGGCTTGAGTATGAAGGAACTTTTTACTGAACTATTTACAGTAAGAACCCAAGATAACGAACTGATCATAGGTCATCACAATAGTAATTCCTTTTTCAGTATTGTTGGTTTCAAAAGTACCAGATAATATAGCTGGTTTTTTTTGGTGGTGTTGTACATAACATTGTCACTTTTAACACATTCTGCAGAGCTTTAATATGTTTAGTAGTTGATAACATATACAATTATCTGTAAATGATTGAGAAGTTCTTGAGTTTGGTCAGTTTTCCCTAAAACTAATGGTTGTCTGTTAAAGATGTTTCTGAACAACTAAAAGTTATATTTCTGTTTTAGTCCAAACAAAACCACATAATCTGTTAAGTTCAGGGAGTGTGTATGTGCATATGTGTATATGGATAGGATTTTACAGTATCTTCAATGAAACAATGTTAGACATGCACAATTTGGGCGATTAACATTAAGGAAACAATAATGCTGTTCAAAGAAATAATAGCATTCAAAAATTCCATCTTGAATCAGAGGAAAATTATATAGATTGTTTAAAATTAACATGCATTTCAGTTACTCTAAAAACCTGCACATTTTTTTGATATGTGTGGGTTTTCCAAGAAGGTTTTTTCCCAAAGCTTTTAGGATTACTCTAAGCATCCTCAACTGTGAAATTAGGAGTACTGTGGGTTATCCGAAATGTCTCACCCACATTATAGATATTCTTCCTATTAAGAAACAATAAAGATACATTTTAAAACTTTTATTTAAGATACAATTATTATTTATTAAGTGAAATAAATGGAAGGAGTTAGAACAACTTCTAAAAGATCTAATTCATCTTTTTAATATTTATACAGTTTCCATATATCTAATTTTTTTTTTTTTTTTTTTTGGAGACAGAGCCTCAAGCCATCACCCTGGGTAGAGTGCTGTGGCATCACAGCTCACAGCAACCTCCAACTCCTGGGCTCAAGTTAGTCTCTTGCTTCAGCCTCCCAAGTAGCTGGGACTACAGGCGCCTACCATAATGCCCGGCTAGCCATCATTGTTGTTTGGCGGGCCCAGGCTGGATTCAAATCCGCCAGCTCAGGTGTATGTGGCTGGCGCCTTAGCTGCTTGAGCCACAGGTGCCGTGCCCATATATCTAATTTTATTTTGCTTTTTGTCATCCTTCTTCCATGAAATGATGTTATAAGGGGAATTTAGTAACTTTTTTTCTTTAGTTATCTTCTAGATTTTTTATTTATTTTTTGAGACAGAGTCTCACTCTGGCAGCCTGACTGGGATGCCACGGCATTATAGCTTACAGCAACTTCAGTTCTTGGCTCAAGCCATCCTCTTGCCTCAGTTTTTCTAGTTTTAGTAAAGATGGGTCTTGCTATTGCTCAGGTTGGTCTTGAACTCCTGAGCTCAAGTGATCCATCCACTTTGGCCTCCCAGAGTGTTAGGATTATAGGCATGAGCCACTACATCCCACTAACTTCTTGGTATAGCTTGATTTGGTGGTAACTTTAGCAGATATTTATTAATATGTGGACAGTACAGGGTAATGTAAGTCATGAACTGTTTCTTTTAGAGGCCAATCTATTTAGGACAGCGGTTCTGAACCTGTGAACCCTTGGGGTCGAACAACCCTTCACAGGGGTTGCCTAATATCAGATATTTACGTTACGATTCATAACAGTAGCAAAATTACAGCTATGAAGTAGCAACGAAAATAATGTTATGGTTGGGGGTCACCACAACATGAGGAACTGTATTAAAGGGTCACCGCATTAGGAAGGTTGAGAACCACTGATTTAGGAAGACGAGCATAAGCTCACATTCATATACAGAAACAAAGCAAAACTTTTAATGGATTCAGTAAATGTGATAAATTCCAATCATTGTGAGTTGAGAGGGCCAAGGTGAGTTATGGAGGATGGATAGGAATTACATAGAGGATATTGGGGATGGGAGGGTAGAGGATAACAAGAATAGAGGGTGGAGGCACACGTTTAGGGAAGTGGGAGAAGGTAAAGTTGGAAGGATAGATTGGGCTTAGGTTGTGGAGGATTTGATTTGCTGGGAGAAGTTTCAATTGTATTGTGTTTGGGCCATGAAATTTTTATAAATAAGACCATGCCAGGATGAATGAAGAAGATGAATCTTGTATTTGTGTACAAGATTCAGTGTGTACAGATGTGTACAAGATGGATTAATGTGGTATAAGACTGGAGAAAAGATGAGTGGGATTGGGAAGGTTTTTTTTTTTTTTTTGAGACAGAGTTTCACTTTGTCACCCTGGGTAGATGCCCTGGTATCTCACCTCACAGCCACCTCCAACTCCTGAGCCTAGTGCCTCAGCCTCCGGAGTAGCTGGGACTACAGGCGCCTGCCACAACACCCAGCTGTTTTTTTGTTGCACGTTGGCCGGGGCCAGGTTTGAGCCCGCCACCCTTGGTATATGGGGCCGGTGCCCAACCCACTGAGCCACAGGTGCCGCGGGTTTTTTTTTTTTTTTTAATTTTGCTTTTTGACCTCCTTTATTCCATGAAATGATGTATAAGGAAAATTTAGTAACTTTTTTTCCTTTAGTTGTCTTTTAGCTTCTTTATTTTTTAAGACAGAGTCTCAGTCTGGCGGCCTGACTAGAGTGCCATGGCATTGTAATGGTCCAGAAATGTTTGAACCCCAAAATTGGGGCTTAAGAATGAGAAAAGAAGAATTGATGGAACTTAATTGGCAGGGTTGGGGAGAAGAAGGGGCAACCAAAGAGAGAGGCAAAAGTCAAATGACTTCTCAAAAATTATGAGCCTGGATTTTAAGGAGAATGGTGAAAATGTAATAGCAAAGTCAGGGTGGAAGTCACTTGGGAAGAATAGGCTTACAGATGAATTCAGTTTTGGATTTGTTGTGTTTGAGGGTATAATGAGACCACCCTGAAGAAATGACCTATAGACTCTTGGAGCTCATGATTATGGATAATGATTTGTAAATCATTAAAGTGAAAAGTTGAAATTGATAAAATGATAAAGGGATCAACTGAGAGAGAACTGAGGGTGAAAGATGAAGATTGGATAAAGAGGAAGACTAAAGGGAATAAACGATCAAGGTCTTCAGAGTTAGGACAGCCAGGTATCATGAAGTCCAAGACTGTTTTTTTAACCATTTTGTTATTTTATTTATTTGTTCACTTTTTTTGAGACAGAGCCTCAAGCTGTCCCCCTGGGTAGAGTGCAGTGACATCACAGCTCACAGCAACCTCTGACTCCTGGGCTCAAGCAAGTCTCCTGCCTCAGCTTCCCAAGTAGCTGGGACCACAGGCACCCGCCACAACACCCGGCTATTTTTTGGTTGCAGCCGTCATTGTTATTTCGCAGGCCCGGGCTGGATTTGAACCCGCCACCTTAGGTGTATGTGGCTGGTGCCTTAGCCACTTGAGCCAATAGGCGCTGAGCCAAGACTATTTTTTTTTTGAGACAGATGTCTCAGGCTGTTGCCCTGGGTAGAGTGCTGTGATATCATAGCTCACAGCAACCTCAGACTCTTGGGCTTAAACTATTCTCTTGCCTTAGCCTCCCAAGTGGCTGGGACTACAGGTGATTGCCATAATGCCTAGCTATTTTTTTTTTTTTTTTTTGGTTGTAGTTGTCATTGTTTGGTGGGCTCCAGGCTAGATTTGAACCTGCTAGCTCCAGTATATGTGGCTGGCGCCCTAGCTGCTGAGCTACAGACGCCAACCTGAGTCCAAGACTTCTAAAAGAGTATTTTGAAAAGAGAATAGGACAAGATTTGGTTATTTTTTTTCTTCTTGTAATCTTATGGCCATTTATTCTGTTTGCATCTGCTATTTATTGATAGCTTTTACTGAAAACTTTTTATTACAATACCAATCTGAACTGGGTAAAGATGGAATTTTTCTTTGGAAGCAAGAATCCTTTTTCCTGTTTTGTAGTAGTATCTAGGATACATTTTTTTTGCATAATATTGTATGTTTATCATCGCATGTTCATTTATTCATGCTACCATTTAAAATGACCAATCAGGTGACTTCACTTCTGTTCTTTATATATTTTATGTCTGTGTGTACACATATAAATATGAACATGTATACTTATATAAATTTATATTTTAAACAGTCACAATGAACAAGTGAGCATGTTCATATTCTCCCCTATCTGGACTTTGGACTTCTCATATATTGTAGGGACAGTACTCCTTTAATAATACTTACCTTTCTCTATTATTTTGACCTTAGCTGATTTAACTGATACTTTGAGTATATATTATGTGCCATATGCAATACTCCAGTTCTGGGTTTTTTTTTGTAATCTCAAAAAATGATATTGTCACTTGTTTATTTTCCACTTCCTTCTCCACTACCTTTACTAGATTCATTCTCAAAAATGGAAGTTCCTTAAACCTCTTGGTTTTCAGAATAATTTCCTGGCAAATGTCTTTTTAAACCACCTTCCCCACAGAACAGCTTTTTCATTGAGATACTAATGATGAATATTACAGGTTGCGAATACCTAATCTAAAATCTGAAATTCTCCAAAATCTTAAACTTTTTGAGTACTGACTTGATGCTA